GGTCTTGACCACAACACACGGCACGACGAACCCGATCGAACCGTTCGTTATACCTAGGATTTCTGTCGGTTAATGTGTGATCTCTCAGGTTTTGGAAATGGGCCGACAATCGGCCCGACAACTCATGTAGTGTGCACTGGACATTGTACTAAGGAAATGAGGAAGGGGGGGTCAGTGGAGAGCACCGGAGCTGAGCCTTTTTTCATTCAGTGTCATCAACAGAAAGAAAAAAAGACAGGAAGAGACGATAAAGCTGATAATTAAAATGAGGTCAATAGGTTTAATTTATCGTGCGATTAATTGATTTATCACAATCCAGCATGGTGGTGGTAGTGTTATGGTCTGGGACTGCTTTGAACCATGAAAAATGTTCTTGGTGGACTTCTCTGTTGCTTTAGTTCTCAGCTAACTAAAACAAGCCTTTTCACCTGAAATATCTGAAAAAAAAAGTTTTAATTCAATTCTGAATTCTGAGAAATACATGCGTGTTTTAGGGAACAACTGAACTGGGAACAGAAACATATGTTTTATATTTTTCTAAGCACTTAAAATGTATCTTTTTTCAACATGTGTTTTGATGTTTTAGACATGTTGAACAAAAAGGTCAGTGTCTTAAACTCAGCTTAAAGCCAGGCTTGATAAAACTGTTAGAGGGAGATGTGGCATCCGCTAGAGATTTAACTGTTGTTCTCAACTTCCTGCTCGTTGTTGAAGTTCACTCTTGGATCCATTTGGTAGCAGGTGTTTGAGGGCGGCTGAATAGGCAGCGGCCCAGACTTCCGCCTCAGCCATCACACATGGTTAACTTATCAGAAGAGGCACAATGAAAGCAGCAGTGACACTGACTGTGCCTGTAATCTCAGTCCAGGATGAGACTCTGACCACCAGATGCTTTCAGGACACTTATTGACATTTTTGTCCTTCTTTCCCATCGGGCTCTCTAGCAGTGTGGCAGTGTGTGTTTTTGTGCGCTTGTTTGTAATACCTTGTGTGCACCATTCTCCTGACACATACTATGTTGTGGGGACCCACTGCTCCTTGTTGGGACCAAAGCCTGGTCCCCACAAAGGGAAATGCTGTTTTTGGGTCAGGGGTTAGATTCAGGACTAAGGTGTGAATTGAGTTTTGGTTAGGGTTAGGTATGTAATGGTTAGGTGATGGGGTTAGGACAAGGGTAAGGTTTAGGCTGTAGAAATGATTGGAAGTCAATGGCAAGTCCCAACAAAGCTAGTCACGCAAAGATTTGTGTGTGCCTGTGTGTGTGCATGTGTTGCCTCACACAGACAGGGTGGGCTTCCAGAAGTCATGGTCCATTGGCCCGCCTAGATCCATCAAGAGGAACAAAGCTCAGGGGGGTTGGGAAGGTTAGGCTGTGGAAGGAGGAACGGTGCCAAGTCTGCCCAATTCAAAGACCAGGTTTGGGATTTGCTCCAAAAGACTGGAGCTATTTAGGTGGTGCAGGGGGTCTGAGGCAGCCTGGGGGGGAATGGAAGGGATGCTGAGGGGCCACGTCTGCAGGCCCGGCTCAGGTGAAGGTTCTGCAAGTTGTTCCTTCACTTTTAAGTCCGCTTGCTTTTGTACTTTATGTAACTTTATCAGATTTTTTAGTCAGTCTCAGTCACTAAATGCATTTGTATGCATTTAGTGACTGAGAGGTGGTGTGTTGGGGTTAGGGGTGGACAGAATAGCCTGCCACCCAGAATTCTAGAGGGAGCACAAAAGAAGGTCAATACGATTGGCTGCAGGGTGGAAATGGGGGACACAAGCAAGCCAAAAGCAACTAAGTGTCTTTGAATTATTGCAGCTCTGTGCAAATTTGGTGATAATAGCGGAGTGGTCAGAGGGCTGAAATGCCTTTGCTTACAAAAACTGGACATGCTTTGGTGGTCTTTATTTTGCTGTCAGTGTCTTAATGGTGATGATGGCAATAAGCTGTGCAGAAAAAAAAAAACAAATTAAAGGCTTCTGATGGAGTTTTCATCAACTGGATCCAACTCTATAGCTGTGAAGTTATTCATCCTGCAAAAATATTCATACCATTGGAACTTTTAATATTTTGCCTATTTCTTCCCACAAACTCTATGAATTTAAAGTGATGGACCAACAGACTGGAACATTAAGAAAGGAGGAAATGTCAGCGCTGGTCTTATTGTACAGATAGATGTTATCCTATCATGGTACCAAGCTGGAGTTCACTGAACGACCCATTCTTTCCCACGTTTGTAAAGTCGCCTGCTGGTTTTCCCTGTGGCCATGAAAGTGATTAGATCACCTAAATTCAATGATTTGGATGGCAGAGTGAATATTTTTGACCATAAAATAAAGAAGAGGCAGTGATTAGGGTTCAATAATAACTGTATGTTTTGCTTCTTTTCTGTTCCAGTTATTTCTGTTTATCTAATTTCTTGACATCTCTGCACAAAAAGCAGACAAGACTTAAGCCAGAAAATAAGTAACCTCACAAAACACACAGAAAACATAATTATATGATAAGGACATGTTATCTAATAAAAAGGAACGTCACATTACAAATAAAAAGTGCATTCCAACCTTTAAGACGCATCCTTCATGTGTACCTGGGAACAGTGTGCTTTCAGAAAGCTCTGGGAAGTTAAACTTTTCATCACAGTTGAGCTTTAATGACTTCCTTGAGGAGCTTTTTGACGCTGTAGGAGGGAATCCTTTCTCTTCAGCCTTGGCCTTGAGCCAGGATGACAATCAATGTCTCTGTGTCTCTTCTGTGGAGGATTATTTCGAAGGTCTCCCCTTTTATTCGAGGAAATGGTATTTGGAAGCTAAAACAGGATATCCTGCTGGCTTGCCTGGACTCTGAACCATTTCCCCTCATCCCTTTAAAAACCCTCAAGATTCATTCTCCCCGAGTCCTCCTTTTGAGACTTTGAGAATCCAGAAATCTATTAAACTACTTATGAGTACTTCCTTGGATTTAAGCTGAACCCAAATGCTGATTATTTTTTAGCAAGCTGGTAAAATATTGATTTATGGTAAGCTATCAACATTAAAATCTAACAGTATTCTAGAATATTAAACAAAAATAAACAGAATGTCCGTCAGCAGTCTGAACACAGAACATTAGTGCGGAAAACAAAAATACAAAAGGTGCATTTCTTTAAAAATATATATATATAAGTTGAATACAGCATGCAGCTGTTGAATTCAAATGCCAAATATTTTCGGTAACACTTTATTTGATGGGGGGGGTGAATAAGACTGTCATGACACTGTCATAAACATGACATAACACCTGTCAGGAACATGAATAAGCCTTCATGAATATTTATGACTGTTGTCATAAAGTGTAATTCGGTAAATTATGACACTTTTAATACAAAGTTGACATTATTCAAAATGTCTTTGTTATGACAACTTGACATTAACCAAGAAATCATTACTGATATAAATTTGTTATAAAATAATTACTGATTTCACTTTAAAAATTAGGTAACTTTGTTATTAAAGGTAAAGTTTAAACAATAATGATTTCTTGGTTAATGTCAAGTTGTCATAACAAAGACATTTTGAATAATGTCAACTTTGTATTAAAAGTGTCATAATTTACCGAATGACGCTGTATGACAACAGTCATAAATATTCATGAAGACTTATTGATGTTCATGACAGGAGTTATGACATGTTTATGAAAGTGTCATGACAGTCTTATTCAACCCCCTTCAAATAAAGTGTTACCATATTTTCCAATTTTCTCTTTCAAGATACATTGAAGGGAGCATTGTTTGAGTGTTCATAAGGCTGGATAATTTACTATAAGTTATGATCATGAAGCCCGCTGCAAAAGATATTTCAAACTTATCCAGCAGAAGAAATGGCTTTCCAACCATTAATGTATTGTATTAGGATTAATTCAACTGTGGAAAGCCTAAAGCATGTTCTTTATTAAATCTAATAAAGTTAAGCTAAGCTAAGTTAAGCTCTTTAGTAGAGGCAGATCTAAATGTTCAGTTTTTACATGCTTACAGCTGGTAAAGACACTAAGATCAAGAATTAGCAAAGGGGGTGAAAAAGAAATAAACACTACACTTTCGAAATTTTTATCTATAGAAATATTGTCCTTCCACTTCACAATGATGCACTACCTTGGGTTGATCAAAATTAGTGGAATAGGTAAAATATGTCGGTGTGTATGGATGCACAAGTGGAATAAAATGGATTCATTCTCCTGTGTGAAATAAAGAAACATTGAAAAGAAATTTTTCTGATCATCATACAAAACATTTATTTTTTCCCACAATACACAAGAGACCCTAAGAAAAAGAGAGTTAGAAAAAAATGTCAGGATTTTTTTTTTTGGAAGAGACTATCCTCATCTTCAGTATGTGTATCTGTCAAATGTGTCCCCAGAAACATTTCTCTTAAAAATTAATGACAAACTTTGATTTGCCAATTCAGCCAAAAATAAATTAAGCTGTACGTTTTTCCACTTACATAACAGTTCCTGACCACCAGAACCCCTTTCCCATCCCCGTATTCTGGGAAAAAGATATTTCCACTGAAATGCAGCAATCAAGACCTTCTGTCCTCATGTTTGACGGCAGAAAGTGAGTTCCCGTTTCTCTAGGAGCCCTCTTCCTGAGATTGCAGACAAACTTCCTGTGAGAAAAATGATTACACCAACCTAAACAGACACAATTGAATATTTGGACATTCCAGAAGGGCAGGATTTGCTGCAACAGATTACAACACTTAAAATAAAAAGTACATATATATTTGATAATTTATTTCTTTGTTGTATTAACGTAACATAATTTCTTGGCAATAAATCCCAGACAGTTATGAAAAAACTTTAAATTGTGCCTCATTTGCAAGGAACATTTGTGGGTTATATCCATGAAAAACTTCTAAAATCAGCTCAACCAATATCCTACAGCTGATTCATCTTTTATATATCTGCATTGTGAACCAATGATGATGAGCCTTGTCTACTCCGCTCCCACACCGCAGCATCACACTGCTTTTACCAAAAGCTGCGTGGCATTGGCAGTGAGGATTTGAAGAGTCAACTCTGCAAATGAAAACATAACATGTATTTTCTTTAGAAACGTGGAACCACTTTAAGGGAGTATACAGGTTTTTCAATAGAATAAGCTTTATTGCTACGATGCATCATTACAAAAAAAAAAAATTCTTTATGTGAACTTTTAATAAATCCAAAACTAATTATGGGTCAGTGATTCTGAGCATGTCTGTGATTTAGAGGCTTTCTGTTATTTATATGGTAACATTTGAGGGAAAAAAAATGGAGAACAGACATAATCTCCATCCATCTGGAGCTCCAAACCACAATGGTGTGAAAACATATTTATAATAATTAATTTTTTTTTTTAATTTGTGAATTCTATACCCAGTGGATCAGGGCTGTCTTAAATCTCCAGTTAAAGATCTTTTAATTCAGAATGATGATCAAATCTCACAGGTTGGAAGATCTGCTCTTTGTGAAGTGTGAAGTGCTTCCACTGTCTCATTCTGCCAGAACCATTTTATACACACACACGCACGCGTGCACGCACATATACACATACACACGCACACACCTAGACAAACGCACACACATGCACACACACACCTACACACACATACGCTTCCAAAATAAATTCAATAAATAAGACATCATGTTGTAAGGCAATGCTGATCATGTGTTTGTCACAATGAACAACAAATCAAGAAACATACATGTATCAATATGCACATTCATTAAGAGAAACCAGCCACCATGCTGCTATCAGTTGAAGCTACAAGGCCTTACAGGTGATCTCCTGTTGGACAGGCTCTGCCCCCACAGCGCCTCCCGCTGCTTTCCACTTGCAGGACGACCTGCTGGATTCAGGGCTCCAGCAGACTGGATGCAGTGCAACAACCAACCTTGATTATATTCAGGAAAAGTCAAAACAGAAACAGAGAGTCTAAAGCCCAGCCACTCAGAGCCTCAGGACAATCCCGAGGTCTCCAGGTAACTCTGCAGCTTCCGAACAGTACTTCTGTCCAGGGAGCAAAGGTCAAAATCAAAAGTAGTATTTGTGATGTGGAAATGCCCCGTCTCCTCAATCAGGTTTACGATCTGGAAACCACAAGAAACAGCAGAATGTTTTTACCAACACTGAAACTTCAACAGCTTTCTGAACGGAAACAGCAGAATAAATGTTTACTTCTGTTACAAGGAGAGAAAGAGTCTCAGAGACTTAAAGTTTTCCTTTTCTCATTTGAACAAGCGAAACCTTGGACCCATATTGTACTTGAAACCGATTGGAGACAGTGAAAACTCTGATTGGCTGTGGTCCTGATATTCGTGTACATGTCTGCGTTGTCAGCTGCAGTCAAGAGGCAAGAAGACCAGCCTGCTCAGATAGACAGACTGGTAGAGAAAATGAAAAGAATGATTGACAGGTTTTCTGTCAACTTAAGGCCTGAACCGTCCGAAAATCATTCCCAATGGTCTGACACAAAGTCATCAACCTCTACCTCTACAATTTTTAAAGCACAATTTCAAATATTGCATTAGGGAAGGTTGATGGAAATGGCAAAATTTGAAATACTTTTCTTAATTCCACAAAAAGGTTTTAATGGCTAATGCACATTTGAAGAATTAGTAAAATTGTCAACTGTTTGTCAACATATTGACAAACAGCAAACATTAACCTCAGATGTTTACATTTGCTTATCTTGGTTAATTCGCTCAGAAAGCTATGCCACATTGATGCATTAATTCATGACTGAGTGCAGACAACTCATCCAGAATGTTCATCAAGTCCTTCATCACTCAGAAGTAATAATGTTATGTTCTGATTAACTAAATTTGATGATTTCTTTAGATTAAGTCAGAATCACAAACATGCAGAAATACATATCTGAAAAAAGTCAGTTTCATTTTCTGACTTCAGTTGATCAAAGTAAGGATTTTACTGTGAGGGACCGTTTTGTCTCATATAACTGCTCTGGTCAACATTTTCGGAGCCCAGGATGTAGAAGTGTTTATTATGCATCAGTGCTTGAGTCAAAATGACATATTGACAAATAAAGCTCACCTGCTGCAGTATATGGCCTTCCCTTAGTGTCATCAGTCTATTGTGCAGCTCTACCAACTCATCCAGGTAAGCCTGGAAAACACAGCCACGTGCAGTTAGCTTCACGGCAATCAGTTTACATACCAAGGCAAAGAAATCCCAAAACAAAGGATAAAAGGGTCATTTTTGAGAAGTTGTTTTTGTATAGAAAATGGGAGCTGTGTGCACTTTTACAGCCCAGATAGAAAAACATGAGTGAATCCACATTGAAACAACAAAAAGCAGAAACACTGAATCAACGTTGAAGCCTGACATTGAATCAATATTTAAAGTGTTCGGTGATTTATAAGTTGAATCAGCGTTAGGGTTTCAACCATAACTGACTAGTGTCATTGATATAGTTAGCAATGTTGATTCAAACATCATGTGAATGTGGATCTACATGCACACTTGTGTTGATTTTATATTGAAAGTTAAGGAATCAATATTGATTCATGTACATTTTTTGGTCTGATAGGTCTACATCATAACATACTATTAAAAGTTTATTCACTGGTGTTCAACACACAATTTTTTGGTAGACAATGCGTATTATGTCATTCACAATTATCTCAAATTACTATATTTTCAAAAATGTGTGTACACAACTTAAAAAATTACTTAGAAAGTAGGAGGGAAGGTGGGAAAGGGAGGAGAAGTGACAAACATTGTGACAAACATTGATTCGACATTGACCGGCATCAATGTCAAATTGATGTTTGGCATTGATCAGACGTTGGCATTTCAATCATTAGATTTCAACCACAACACAACATTGATTCAATTACATATTTTCAACATTGGTTACTTGACTAGAATTAGATGATTTTTTTATGGCTGATCCACCATCAATCATCGACCTCAATCAAAAATCTACCTTTTTGATCATAATTCAACACTGAATTACCGTTCCTTGCTATCTGTGTATACAGTACTCTTCATTTGAATGTTGACCTAGTGGGTTTACCTTGTCACAGTCTAGGTTTTCATTCTTGTCTTGCTTGCTCTGTCTGATGGGGCTCCTCACCTCTAGAATCTGGAAAAGAACATAGTCACACTGTTTACAACAGCATACAGTTGACTGCTTGGTTCTCACGTCAGGTAATTTATGGAATACATAGCTGTAGAGCGCTTTAATATTCTACCTGGTTATTGGTGCTTTTTATCAAAGCTGGGGCCTCTTTGTGGGTGGGGGATGAGGGAGAGGAGCCATCAGTCTCACTGCCATCACTTAAACTAACCCTGAGGACAACAAAGTCCTCAGGGTTAGTTGTGTCCTCATAACAAAGAAAAAAAAAACATTTATATTAGGGCCTGGACTTTAACGCATTAATTTTGATTCATTAATTACATACATTTTAACATGTAAAAATTTTGTATGCAATTAATCTTTTTTTCCATTCAAAAGCTCCTTTATATCACTGATGTGAGACAAGCATCATATTTCTACACCAGAAGAAGCCAGATGCAGTAAATCTGGGAATAAATAATAGATGAAATTTATAATAATGAAGTCACAGTTGTTTCTTTTTATCAGCTTCCTTTGTCTTGTTATGATCTTGTGGCAAGACTGTCGGCTCTCATTGCTCAGTAACTTTAAAATCCATTCACAGACGGCATCGTCCATTAATACTGCCATAAACAGAGCACTGTTGTGTGACGTCTGCATTCTTCTTATGCTCATGAGGGTTGCTTTGGTGTCGTAAACCGTTCACGTAGAAATGTGATTAAGGTTACATCATTCAGTAGTATGCATGAGCACCAAAAAAACATTGGATTTCAGTGGAAAAAAATGGAATTGAGCATCAGGACTTGCTGTGTGAGAATAGCCGTAAGATGCTTTTCCACTAGATCGCTTCTAACTGGTTTGGTCCCAGTCCAGATTCTTTTTCCATTAGCAGATCTGGCACGGCTCTGCCTGGCTGTATTCAGATTTTTGTACCTACTTCAACAGTAGTACCAGCTGTACCGAGCTGAGTACTGCACCAAAGTGATTGGATTGACAGCTGACCGCAGTCGTTGACTGACTTGTGATTATCTCTCAAAACTCCAAACAACATTACAGTTTAGCTGTGGGCCACAAACATGCTGTTTGCCATCAGAGACCTGCTCAGTACAGAGAAGTATAATTATGAGTTTAATCAGGAGCAGCGGCAGGAACACATGCTACGTTTTGGAGTGGAATGACCGTGATTTAGTAGCGCTGCTAGTAGTTCATCGCTCTGAAGAATGAACAGCAATAAAGAAGAGAGAAACGGTGAAGCTGTAGTCAGATTTCTGTTTGAGTACCAGTTTAGTGGCACACATCTCAACCTAATACTATGTAAGATGTGAATTTTACTTTTCCTTTGAATAAAATAAAGTTCATGAGTGGCTATTGGTTTACATATTTTGTACCTAAATCCAAAAGGTTACACATTTAAAACAATAAAGTGCCAGAATGTAATTATATTTTTATGTGTAACGGAATAATCAGCTGATCTGAGTCTTTGTTATTATGTTTGAGCAATGAATTTCTATAAGACAAAATAAAATATCTAGGTTTATTTGAGTCCATCAGAACCAGAACCNAATTTGTGAATTCTATACCCAGTGGATCAGGGCTGTCTTAAATCTCCAGTTAAAGATCTTTTAATTCAGAATGATGATCAAATCTCACAGGTTGGAAGATCTGCTCTTTGTGAAGTGTGAAGTGCTTCCACTGTCTCATTCTGCCAGAACCATTTTATACACACACACGCACGCGTGCACGCACATATACACATACACACGCACACACCTAGACAAACGCACACACATGCACACACACACCTACACACACATACGCTTCCAAAATAAATTCAATAAATAAGACATCATGTTGTAAGGCAATGCTGATCATGTGTTTGTCACAATGAACAACAAATCAAGAAACATACATGTATCAATATGCACATTCATTAAGAGAAACCAGCCACCATGCTGCTATCAGTTGAAGCTACAAGGCCTTACAGGTGATCTCCTGTTGGACAGGCTCTGCCCCCACAGCGCCTCCCGCTGCTTTCCACTTGCAGGACGACCTGCTGGATTCAGGGCTCCAGCAGACTGGATGCAGTGCAACAACCAACCTTGATTATATTCAGGAAAAGTCAAAACAGAAACAGAGAGTCTAAAGCCCAGCCACTCAGAGCCTCAGGACAATCCCGAGGTCTCCAGGTAACTCTGCAGCTTCCGAACAGTACTTCTGTCCAGGGAGCAAAGGTCAAAATCAAAAGTAGTATTTGTGATGTGGAAATGCCCCGTCTCCTCAATCAGGTTTACGATCTGGAAACCACAAGAAACAGCAGAATGTTTTTACCAACACTGAAACTTCAACAGCTTTCTGAACGGAAACAGCAGAATAAATGTTTACTTCTGTTACAAGGAGAGAAAGAGTCTCAGAGACTTAAAGTTTTCCTTTTCTCATTTGAACAAGCGAAACCTTGGACCCATATTGTACTTGAAACCGATTGGAGACAGTGAAAACTCTGATTGGCTGTGGTCCTGATATTCGTGTACATGTCTGCGTTGTCAGCTGCAGTCAAGAGGCAAGAAGACCAGCCTGCTCAGATAGACAGACTGGTAGAGAAAATGAAAAGAATGATTGACAGGTTTTCTGTCAACTTAAGGCCTGAACCGTCCGAAAATCATTCCCAATGGTCTGACACAAAGTCATCAACCTCTACCTCTACAATTTTTAAAGCACAATTTCAAATATTGCATTAGGGAAGGTTGATGGAAATGGCAAAATTTGAAATACTTTTCTTAATTCCACAAAAAGGTTTTAATGGCTAATGCACATTTGAAGAATTAGTAAAATTGTCAACTGTTTGTCAACATATTGACAAACAGCAAACATTAACCTCAGATGTTTACATTTGCTTATCTTGGTTAATTCGCTCAGAAAGCTATGCCACATTGATGCATTAATTCATGACTGAGTGCAGACAACTCATCCAGAATGTTCATCAAGTCCTTCATCACTCAGAAGTAATAATGTTATGTTCTGATTAACTAAATTTGATGATTTCTTTAGATTAAGTCAGAATCACAAACATGCAGAAATACATATCTGAAAAAAGTCAGTTTCATTTTCTGACTTCAGTTGATCAAAGTAAGGATTTTACTGTGAGGGACCGTTTTGTCTCATATAACTGCTCTGGTCAACATTTTCGGAGCCCAGGATGTAGAAGTGTTTATTATGCATCAGTGCTTGAGTCAAAATGACATATTGACAAATAAAGCTCACCTGCTGCAGTATATGGCCTTCCCTTAGTGTCATCAGTCTATTGTGCAGCTCTACCAACTCATCCAGGTAAGCCTGGAAAACACAGCCACGTGCAGTTAGCTTCACGGCAATCAGTTTACATACCAAGGCAAAGAAATCCCAAAACAAAGGATAAAAGGGTCATTTTTGAGAAGTTGTTTTTGTATAGAAAATGGGAGCTGTGTGCACTTTTACAGCCCAGATAGAAAAACATGAGTGAATCCACATTGAAACAACAAAAAGCAGAAACACTGAATCAACGTTGAAGCCTGACATTGAATCAATATTTAAAGTGTTCGGTGATTTATAAGTTGAATCAGCGTTAGGGTTTCAACCATAACTGACTAGTGTCATTGATATAGTTAGCAATGTTGATTCAAACATCATGTGAATGTGGATCTACATGCACACTTGTGTTGATTTTATATTGAAAGTTAAGGAATCAATATTGATTCATGTACATTTTTTGGTCTGATAGGTCTACATCATAACATACTATTAAAAGTTTATTCACTGGTGTTCAACACACAATTTTTTGGTAGACAATGCGTATTATGTCATTCACAATTATCTCAAATTACTATATTTTCAAAAATGTGTGTACACAACTTAAAAAATTACTTAGAAAGTAGGAGGGAAGGTGGGAAAGGGAGGAGAAGTGACAAACATTGTGACAAACATTGATTCGACATTGACCGGCATCAATGTCAAATTGATGTTTGGCATTGATCAGACGTTGGCATTTCAATCATTAGATTTCAACCACAACACAACATTGATTCAATTACATATTTTCAACATTGGTTACTTGACTAGAATTAGATGATTTTTTTATGGCTGATCCACCATCAATCATCGACCTCAATCAAAAATCTACCTTTTTGATCATAATTCAACACTGAATTACCGTTCCTTGCTATCTGTGTATACAGTACTCTTCATTTGAATGTTGACCTAGTGGGTTTACCTTGTCACAGTCTAGGTTTTCATTCTTGTCTTGCTTGCTCTGTCTGATGGGGCTCCTCACCTCTAGAATCTGGAAAAGAACATAGTCACACTGTTTACAACAGCATACAGTTGACTGCTTGGTTCTCACGTCAGGTAATTTATGGAATACATAGCTGTAGAGCGCTTTAATATTCTACCTGGTTATTGGTGCTTTTTATCAAAGCTGGGGCCTCTTTGTGGGTGGGGGATGAGGGAGAGGAGCCATCAGTCTCACTGCCATCACTTAAACTAACCCTGAGGACAACAAAGTCCTCAGGGTTAGTTGTGTCCTCATAACAAAGAAAAAAAAAACATTTATATTAGGGCCTGGACTTTAACGCATTAATTTTGATTCATTAATTACATACATTTTAACATGTAAAAATTTTGTATGCAATTAATCTTTTTTTCCATTCAAAAGCTCCTTTATATCACTGATGTGAGACAAGCATCATATTTCTACACCAGAAGAAGCCAGATGCAGTAAATCTGGGAATAAATAATAGATGAAATTTATAATAATGAAGTCACAGTTGTTTCTTTTTATCAGCTTCCTTTGTCTTGTTATGATCTTGTGGCAAGACTGTCGGCTCTCATTGCTCAGTAACTTTAAAATCCATTCACAGACGGCATCGTCCATTAATACTGCCATAAACAGAGCACTGTTGTGTGACGTCTGCATTCTTCTTATGCTCATGAGGGTTGCTTTGGTGTCGTAAACCGTTCACGTAGAAATGTGATTAAGGTTACATCATTCAGTAGTATGCATGAGCACCAAAAAAACATTGGATTTCAGTGGAAAAAAATGGAATTGAGCATCAGGACTTGCTGTGTGAGAATAGCCGTAAGATGCTTTTCCACTAGATCGCTTCTAACTGGTTTGGTCCCAGTCCAGATTCTTTTTCCATTAGCAGATCTGGCACGGCTCTGCCTGGCTGTATTCAGATTTTTGTACCTACTTCAACAGTAGTACCAGCTGTACCGAGCTGAGTACTGCACCAAAGTGATTGGATTGACAGCTGACCGCAGTCGTTGACTGACTTGTGATTATCTCTCAAAACTCCAAACAACATTACAGTTTAGCTGTGGGCCACAAACATGCTGTTTGCCATCAGAGACCTGCTCAGTACAGAGAAGTATAATTATGAGTTTAATCAGGAGCAGCGGCAGGAACACATGCTACGTTTTGGAGTGGAATGACCGTGATTTAGTAGCGCTGCTAGTAGTTCATCGCTCTGAAGAATGAACAGCAATAAAGAAGAGAGAAACGGTGAAGCTGTAGTCAGATTTCTGTTTGAGTACCAGTTTAGTGGCACACATCTCAACCTAATACTATGTAAGATGTGAATTTTACTTTTCCTTTGAATAAAATAAAGTTCATGAGTGGCTATTGGTTTACATATTTTGTACCTAAATCCAAAAGGTTACACATTTAAAACAATAAAGTGCCAGAATGTAATTATATTTTTATGTGTAACGGAATAATCAGCTGATCTGAGTCTTTGTTATTATGTTTGAGCAATGAATTTCTATAAGACAAAATAAAATATCTAGGTTTATTTGAGTCCATCAGAACCAGAACCTGGAGATTTTGCATTGCTGCAAACATCAGGAGAGTTGATCACAGCTGCTATGCTCTCATGGACCGCACACAATAGTGAGGAACAGCATGTAATGGAGAAGCTCACTACCTGGGATAGAACCAAACTGCACATTGACTAGTTAGTGCATGACTTGTCAGGGGGAAAGTATCTTTAGTGGTTTCACTATTTAGCAAGATGAGGAGCTGTTTGTTAATGGACATTTTCTGTCTTAGTTGGTATCTGCAGTAGAACGGAACATTGCAATGCAACAGACTCTATACCAACTGTGCACCTGGAAAACACACCTTGCTGTTGGAACTGGAGCAGACTAATCAGTTTTTCAGGGATTTTCTCGTTTGTTTGCCTCATAGCAAAATACCTCCAAATTATGAATATAGTGGGTAGCTGCTGTAGGAAGATATGCACCAGTTTAGGGAGATGAAAATCACTTTGGCCGTTTCAAATTTATTGTATTGTATTATTATACAATATATTATATTGTAATTAAAAAAATGTTTTAATTTTTTTATTATAATTATTATTATACCTAAATATGGATTATTTTGCAAGATCTGATAATACTCTGCTCTGCCTACTGGTCACTAACCTGTGTTGGTGGTGTGTGAGACATGTTTGTGTTGGTCGTTCTGCATCAGAGTCCATGTCGTGGTCTTCAAGTTCTTCTGAATCGTCATCGTTGTCGTCTGACTGCAGATCTTGCACCACTGACTGCAGCGGCCCAAGCACTGCATGTCAAATACAATAACACACACAACAACTTTTCATTTATGAAATCATTGAAAGAGAGAAATGAAGTACAGTAATAAAAGTAGGATGTTGGATGTGGTGCTGGTTCCTATTGAAATTGGCCATTTTCTGGCACCTACCCTCTGTCCTGTTTAGACAGGGCTTGTTATGCTGCAGGGCTGGGTGACACATGAATTTGATCAAATTTTCTGTTCATTAAAATTTTATTCTTGGAAAATCTGGATCTCTTTTTTTCCCACCAATGCACTCCTTGGTTTTCTGTAGTTCAGAGTGATGTCAAGCCCACCACTCTCAGTTGTTTCCTGTCCGATGTTGTCCGTTTCCAACATTATTCAAGAGAAGTTTTGGTTTCCTTTTCTCCCCTAACGTTGCTTTAATCATTGAAAGTCGGCTTACTGCAATCTGCAGAGTTTCAGTTGCAGATTTTTTGTGAACTGGCACCTTGTAAATAAAATGGACTGAACTGCAGATATTGTTTGTGTGTAAACTCCTGTAAACAGCAGCTAGAGGGGAGTAATTCAGGTGTACTACCTTGACGTTTGTGGTGTGAGGGAGCAAAGCCTGAACTGGAGCTGGAACTGGCTGGACTGGGCTGTTCAGACTGAGAAAAAGAACACAAAGAAACCTCGTAGAGAAAATATACATGGTTTGTTCAGAAAATTGTTACCACCACCCACCAACACATCTGCTGACTCTAGTTGCAACTTTTACATTGGGAGATTTCTTCTCATTGACTGGTTAACTATAAACAATGAAAAACTAGTCTTTTTGAGAAACGACATTATAATAGCCATATGGAAAACAATAGTCCTGCTTTTTGATGCATCACTGAAAACACGTCATCCACAACAACCGTACAGTGTAACAGATGTTCAACATCTCGGAATCAGACTTGATTTCAAATTCTGAGATCTCTGCTGGTGACTATTGAGAACCCCATAAGTAAGAACTATGATTTACTGTAGAGTGAATAAGGAGTGGTGTGACAACTTTTGGTGATTTGCCAGAAATCTGGAAGGTGCATTTTTGTACAACCTGCAGGCAGTTAAATAATGTTTTATTTAGAATAATGCATCATAATCCAATCTGGAAGCGTGATGCATGAATAACATTTTCCAGCAATGTTCTGGATCAAGCAGCAGCTGGAGGGTTGATTTTTTTTTTAGTCAAACCTGAAAAGACACTGTTGCTGAGACATTAGTCCTCTAATCCTGGAAATATTATTCAGGTAATAGAAGGCTGACTTTGTAACTGTCTTTATGTGACTCTGAATGTTCAGGTCAGAGTTCACTATTACACCCAGATTTCAGGTCGGATCACTAGTTGTCAACTGTAGTAACTGAAGCTATGCATGGACTATATATTGTTCTTCTTTAGGTCCAAAAATAATAACTTCAGATTTGTTTCAGTTTAGCTGGAGAAAGTTTTGGCGCATCCAGACGTTTATCTGTTCTAAGCATCTGTTCAGTGATGGGTTCGGAGTCAAGTGGTGACATAGTAATGTAGAGATGTGTGTCATCTGCGTAGTTAAGGTAGCTAATCTTAGCTCCTCTTATAGCCTGAGCTAATGGGAGGAGTAGGAGGGCTCCTAGGATTGAACCTTGGGGTACCCCACATGTGATTTCTGTGTGCTTCGATGAGAAGTTTCCTATTGCAATAAAGAAATCTCTGTATGCAAGATTTGAACCAGCTGAGTACTGGACCAGAGAGTCCAACCCAACTCTTCAGTCCTTTCAATAATATGTCATGGTGAATATTGTTAAATGCTGCGCTGAGGTCCAACAGAATCAGCACTGTGATTCTTCCACAGTTTATCTTTATATGAATGCTCTTAAACACTTTGACAAGGGCAGTCACAGTTCTGTGGTGAGCACAGAAACCAGACTGAAGGACATCAAAGCGGTTGGTTATCATAAGGAAGCCATTTAACTGTTAAAACACTGCATTTTCAATAATTTTCCTGATGAATGGAATGTTGGAGACTGGCCAGTAATTTTGGAGGAGTGATTTGTCTAGATTGTTTTTTTTAATCAGTGGTTTGATAACTGCCATTTTTAAAGCCTGGGGGAAACCCCTGATGAAAGCAATGAGTTTGTGATATGTTTTTGATGAGGGAATAACATTATAACATGATACAACACTAAAGAAGTCAATTTTATGTAATACTCAATGCCTCTCTGACTCGTAGACCTTCCATTATATGAGGGAGTGAGAAACAACCCTTCTCCATCAAGTTAACTTGATTTTATACGAGAAGGAACACCTTCCTTTAAAACTGGTCTATACTAATATTAAACACACTAATTACCCAGTTGCTACTTATCTTCCAATAGTAACAGTGACATGTTGCTTCTGTCTCTATATTGTCGTCCCTCCTCTCTGTGTCTGGCAGAATGCCATCACCAAGGGCGTAAATCCCATCTCATTAATGGGTGGGGGACCATAAACAGGGAAATTTTTTAAGAGCAATTTTTTGGGGGGTTTGGGGTCAGCAAAGTTACAGTAAAATGTGGTTTAAATTTTCTTGTGTGTGTGATGAGCTGCACCATCAAAAATGACTAGTAAGTAGCAATGAATAACAAAAGTGCTTTTCTCAGTAAACAACCTGTTGAGACCCATATAAGTCAAACTAAGATTCAAATGTTGCTTAGATATGAGTTTGGTTCAGTGTCACAACTCTAGTGTCTGCTACACCTTTACAAAAACTTAAGGGTCTAAATAAAAACAAGTTTTAATAAGTAACTCTGCTTAATAAAATTCCTCATAAATATTGATTTATTGCAGTGGTTCTCAATACAAGTCATGTGTTATTTAAATTATAACTTAAGTTACTTTAAACTTTTATTTATTTATTTATTTTTCATGTTAAAACCTATAAATATGTAGGAACTGAACATTTGGGAAGTATCATAACTTAAACTTAAAGGTCAGCACCAGTTTTCTAGAAAAATATTCAGATTTTATATTGTGGTTTTAAAGTGTCTACGTTGAAGACGGTAAGATATAAAGGCATACTTTTTTTTTTTTTACTGTCAGATGCAACAGTTTCTCTGCTCTCGGCTCCCATACAGAGCTGTTGGCTAGTGGTAATGCTCAGTTGCTCGCTCCCATTTCAAACTCTTCTTATTAAAGTAAGAGTTAGAGAGCTAAATATAATTTAAATACTGGCTACCTTAGAAAAGAAAAACGAGCTAAGTCTATGAAAGCAATGTAGCAGTTTTGCTAGTTTTGATTTCCAAACCATAAGGTGGCAGTTTATCATGATTCAGCCAAAGTAATGAAATAACGAACTGTGGACTGATTTTTATTGTTAATGCGTTTCACTCTATTGACCAGCGAAAGTAAATAAAACGTGTTACATGTCTTTTGCTTTAAGTATTTACTTACTGGAGGGTTTTTTGTTAGTGCTGCAGAGCCACAGCTGACAGGTTCACTTCACCTTCACAAGCTCTAATGGAGTCTGTGTAGTTCAGCTCTGCTGTTGCTCCTCCTACACTTTGGACTGAACCATTGTTCTAACAATAGTGGGGGGACCTAAAAATTAATTCTTGTTTTTTTCTTAGATGAATGGCAGATTTACTTCGTTCTTTGTTTCTATTGCCTTTTATAAACTGATATTGTTTAAATACAAGGGTTTCATTCAAGATTTCTTTGGGGGGATTTTAGACTTTTCCAAGATTGGAGGGTCCGGACCCCACATTAAAAATCACAAACATTCGAACTATGTGGCCATTTTTTTTCTCAGGACAAATCAGGAACTTTCTATTTCTATTGAGTTAAATTGAGACAATTAGATCATGTCATACATCTTTGTTAAAACATTTTGTGTAAATACCATGCTATTTGTTATACTTATTTTTAATACTATGTTTATTAGGTATTTTGATTATTCATACAAAAAAGGAAAAAGGAACAATAACAACAAGAGGACAAAGCTAATACAGCACTAATCTGGAGTCAAGTACATAAATTACAGCAATCACTATAAAAGCTATATACTTATTTTTTAAAAGTCAACCGTACTGAAGTAGTATCAAGCTTCCAATTTTTCAAATAGATTTGGATCCAAGTGTGCAAACTCTAATTCATGTGGGAGTGTCAGCATAAACCACAGTTGTCCAAGAAGACAAAGCGAACAGTGACCTCCAGCAGAAACATGAAAGAAAAAGAGCACAGTGAGGATAAAAGACTTCAGTGGTCATTACCTCCTGACAACAAACAACACACAGCTGGTCTGTTGGTTTATGGGATAGCTTCTTCAATGTGCCATAAATCTCAGTACCACTCCTTTTTAGGGCTTTTGTCCTGCTCCACTCCAGCCCATTAAAGTTGAATATCAGTCTGCTGAGATGAATCAGGCCTCTTCCCTCAGTGACAGCAACAAGTTGGATATTTAAAAAGAAATGCAATTGTATCATATGCGTATATAAAAAAATAGGGAAAAAGGTCAATATATTTCGTCATTCACCTCAGAACATAAGAAACTCATCATATATTTTTTTTACGGAGTGAAATATTTTAAGCCTTCATTGCTTGTAATTTTGATGATTACTGGATACAGAGAATGAAAAACCAAAATTCAGCGTCTCAGAAAATTTGAATATTATAAAAAGGCAAATGAACAGAAAGTTGTGTGGAAGGAAAGTGTGGTAAGAAAAGGTGCACTAGCATCGGAGGTTGAGAAATTCTTTTAAGGAATAAAGGAAGTGTCACAAGGAATGGGTTGCTTTTTCCTTCCACTCAACTTTCCATGTATTTGAATTTTTTACAATATTAAAATTTTCTGAAACACTGAATTTTGTGTTTTCATTATCTGCATAGTGACAAGAAAAAATTATTTTGCAAAGTGACAAGAAAAAAAGGCTTGAAATATTTCACACTGTGTATATATGTAATTTACACAGTGTGCACACTTATTAGGCAAGGGAGTATATTGACTATTTTATCACTTTTAGGCATATTTTCTCATTTCAAGGTGGATAAACTTGATTGCTTAATGGATTTACTCACAACAAGTGATGTGTATCTATTTAATAAGGTGCTTGTGGCCTATGGATGTCAACACCTTAAATCAAGGTGTACATAATTATTAGGCAGATTCTTTTCTTTAGGAAAAATGGGTTTTGGATTGGAGAGTAGGGGAAATTTGTAGCAGTTTGCTGCTACCATCAGAGGGGCAGGAGTTGAGGGGTCTGGCAATACAATTACTATAATACAGAAATGTATGGTAAAAACTAATAATTTACAGGGGTAAAATACGGTGGTTTCCCAGCCAAAAAGGGAGACTTGACAAGTTGACAGGTATGCCAAAAAGAGATTTAAATGACTCTGAAACATCAAAAATGACCAAAAGTCTCTCAGAGGGATGCAGAACTCATGAAACTGCAAAAATATTGGGGTGTGATCACAGAACTATCTAATATTTCCTAGCAAATAGTCAACAGGGTTCAGTAAACATGTTGAGAAAAAAAGATGCAAATTAACTGCCAAGGATTTAAGAAAAATCATACGTGAAGCCACCAGGAAGTCTGTACTTTCCAGTTTTGTCATATTCCATAACAACTACCTCCCTATAGTACCTAGAAGTACCAAATATTCAGAGCTCAGAGACATAGCCAAGGTCAGGAAGGCTGAGACTCAGCTGCCATTGAACCAGATTTCAGCTGAAGCCTAAAGACTGGGCAGAGAAATATCTGAAGACAGATTTTTTAAAGGTTTTATGGATGAGACTACTGACAGACCAGATAGATGGTCCAGTGGGTGCATTAATAACAGGCACAGAGTCTACAAAAGCCATCAAACACCAGTTCACCCAGGATGTAAACCTCTTTGACTCCTCCACTCTGTTTTATGCAAACTGTAGGCGATATCACCCAGTCCACTCCCACATGCAGGGTGCTCTAAACATGATTTTTCATGCAAGACACTCTGCTTTAGCTTGTCATTATCACCAACTCCACATTTCCTCTCCTGTGATTTTTTTCAGGCACACTGCTCACACAAGTAAATGAGAGCAGTGGTCTGTAGGCCTGGTGCTCGGCCACCGGGGTTGGTAGCTTGGGGAGAATCAAACACCTGGCATTTGTCACCATACATCCCCTTTTACAACCTTTACCATCCTCATTCCCTGTATGATAAAAGTTTAAAGTCTTTGTCCATACAGCACAGACAAAGAAACACTGGTTCGGATCATACTTGTTAATAACACCCCTGCCAGAGTAAACTGCTTATCCACAGAACATGCACAAAAGAAACAGTCCTCTGCCCCTTTTACACAAACTTTTAAAAATAGAAATAAAAACAGCAATGCATTAAAGAAAACTATTCAAAGCAGTGGGATTCAGACTTTCACTACACATACTAACCCTTTTCCCTCTCTCACAAAGATTAAAGTCAAACTCTTTGGCATTCATGAGAGTATCTCTTTTTTTTTCTCCTCAGGTGTAAAACCATAAATTTTTCCTGTCTGCTATTTGGCTTTATTACCGCCTTTCTTTATGGGGAGGTTCTCCACCAAATGTGTGTGGACCAGGCAACCCAGTCAAATGTCTTTACTAATGAAAAGAGCCACTACAGGGAAGTTTTACCCTGCAGTGGCACTTACAGTAAGTTTTTCTTTCCTGTAAGTGCAGAGGAACGGTACAAAAATAAGCAGTTTTCCTATATTTTAAGTATTGGTGGGGTGAAATGATGCTGTTTTGGTCATAAAGGCAACTGCAAAATGCATCTTATAACTATTCTTCACAACTTTGATCATTTCCTGTTGGCCACACATACAGCTGAACTCCTACCTCAGTTTATTAGGTGTCCACCCCTTCACCCAGCCCCCAACAGCTTGCCAGACCACCATTAAGACTCTCTTCCTGCTGGTTCTTTGATTTTATTGTACTCCACACCAAGGACTAGCCACCAATATTTCCCCCTTCTGAAGTTTCACTGGAAGTGTTTCCCACAAGACACACCAGTAACATTTACTAATTTGCTTCTTAAAACTCTTAAGAGTGGAGAAGTAATGTGCTCAACTTACATCTGACTTTGTCTGATCTTCCATATCAGAGTCGTTGGGGTCCACCAACTCCTGGAATGGTGGAAGCCTGGACACTTTCTTGCGCTCTGCTTCATCCAGTTCTGGGCGTAGTTTAGTTGTTGCCATCTGCGATTTTTTCTTGTCGGAATAATGAGAGTCTGAACCTAATGTTTGCTTTACTGATGATTTCAGATACCCCTTTCTGCGTTTTTTGGTCATAAGATCATCACTGTCCAACACAGAGAGGCGCTTGTTTAAGCCTAATCCATGGGTTACTGACTCACTTCGATGCTCCTTGGACAAAGACTTGGGTTCCTTAAAACCCATCTTAGGATTGCTATCTCTCAGTGGCTGATTCTCTTTGGGTTTCCTTGAAGATTCTTTGGGGACTTTTGAGGATTCCCAGCCAGAGTCTCTAAAGGCACTTTTGGGCTCTTTCAAGTTTCTTAAAGGCTTGTCTTTGTGGTCCTTGGAGGGTTTGTGGAGTTTGGAAAAGTTGCTGCTGTTTGTGCTAGTGGTTGTGGCTGTTGTGAGTAGGTCAGTTTTACCTCCTTTGAAGCAATCCTACAGATAAAAAAACAAAACAAAACAAAAACATATTCAATAAACTTGAAGGGAAATAAAGAAACTAAGCTGCTTCTTGGTGCAAATTTGGTTTCTGGGAATCTCCTAAATTTTTCTGCTCAGTAAACTGTTCACTGTATTTGGATCAGGTTATATAAATGTTTACCATCTGCTTTCATTTAAAAAAGCAAACATTTTAAACTAATCAGTTCTTAGCAAGGCTACCCATCTCTGAATTTCCTGTTATGGCTAAAGTTCTTAAAAGGGTTGTGACACACTATAATTCAGATGACAAACATCTTGGACAAATTTTAATCTGGTTTTTATTGAGTAAGAGTCCTAAATGACTTACTCAAAAGAATCTGCACTTAAGTGAATCAGATTTAAATTATCTCTGACACCTTTGATTATTCAGTACTATACCAAAAATTAAAATTCCTGGGCACATATATCTGGTTTGGCTTGCTTCTTATTTTTTGTTCAGAAGTCTTTATGCAGCTCAATCAAATCTTAAATCATCTTTAGGCCTTGTATATGTAGTCGGATCTTCATAAAAATCAATTATCTCCGCTATATTGTACAAAAGGAATAATACAAGATCAGTTTCAGACATGAAATTTGTATCCTCACAAAAAGCACTGTTTTAGACATGACAAACCTATAGGGGGCAGTGTAGCGTAAAGCTAAAACCTGTGTCAGCCAATCAGATCATAGACATGAAGACGCCTCATTGAGCGCTGAGTCCTACGTTACGTCACCGCCATCTTGTATGTGGCAGCAGAGCGAACGGAGCCCCTTAAGTCCTGTGCTGTGTGGACTTGTTTCAATCGTTTTACAATACAAACTATATTCATCGACATTACCTTTCACAGCTAAGGATGAAAGAACAGAATTACTTGACTTTGCAGCCAGAAACTAGCTTCTAAACAACCGATAAATAGTTCCTCTGTAGCTAAATTGACCCGAAGTAACCACTGATTGTTAGCGTAGCTAACGTTTTCATGCTGTGTTTTCTAATGAGAGAGGGCTGATGAGAAACCGCTGTTAGAGGAGAAGTGCATTAAAGACTAGGTGATTTTGTGAGGAAAGGTCAGTCAGGATCAGTGCTGGAGCTACTGTTCTTTAATCTCTGTTTTACAGCTCAGCTTCACAATGCCGGTATTTAGCTATAAAGATGCTACAAGTCAGAGCCCAACATGCTGAAAATGTCTTTTTTCTGAATGTGAAGGAAAAATATATATTTTCTATAACACTTTTGGATAATTTCTCTTTTATCCTTGCCTTTAGCCTGTGTACCAGGATGTCTCTGGACTTCTCCCAGTCTGACCAGCAGACTGAAGCCCTGCCTGTGGTCAGTGTTCCCAGTATAATAAATAAATGTGTTTTATTCTTTAACTTTTTA